CCTTGCGGGATCTCGTCATAGTATTACCATCTCCTTGGCCTAGCAAGCGATGGAACTTTGCTCCTTCACACCAATTTATCCGATTGCAACTCGAGTCACACCGGGAGGAGTGCCTCATATCTTAGACTGATACACTGCCTTACTGCCTAAAGGGAACGGCTGGCGTATGAGTTGTCAATTCGTATCCCCAACAAAGTCCCGACGAGGGAAATTTTTTTGATCGATACACATGCGCGGTCACTCCCTGTTGTGCTACGACAGCGTTCGAAAAGGTTTTGGGGGAGCAGTAGCTCATCGCACAAACTGCAGGAGTTTCTGATGTAGCAGACAGGCGAAATCATTTCCACAAAAAATTGTATCAAGGCAGGCTTTGATGCCAACGCGAGCGCAGCGCTTACTTGTTTGGTACATTCTTGACTCTGCGTATCGCAAACGGACATGCAGTATCTGCCCTGTAGGATTCTGCCACGCAAGCGTTCTCGCAGTCCCATTTCAAAGGTACTGTAGAGTTTCTCATACGACTTCTCGTTCCTCTGTCGTTGAGCAGCCCTCACGATTTGTTGAGATACAATTTACTCTTTGGCTTGCCCTGCTTTGTTCGAGTAGTGTCCCGAGTCAATAGCTGTGCTCTAACTCCATTGCGTTGACACGCACCATCCCCGTGTTGGGCATAATGCCAGCACTTGTCAATGCTTTTGGCAGTTCGCCTAAAATGTTCCCGGCAAAGAAAAGTTGCCGCCTACATCCACAGTGTGTGTAGTCAACGGGAGATTCGGCTGTTACTACGTACGCAGCCTATGTGAGAAACTCGCCTGTAGCAGGCGAGCTAAGGGGGGTTTGGGACCTCAGGGATCATAGGGCTCTCGGAAGTTATACAAACTTTGTCCGCACGTCGGACAAAGCTAAACAAACTTTGTCCGCAGCTCGGCCTTTTGTGGACACAACGACAACACAAACGCACACAAAACCGAACAGAGACCTAGTAAAGATCAGCGTTCCCTCCCTCAAGGGGGTGTTTTGAATGCATAACACTGAAGGTACTGCGGGTGCAAGAAGCTGATGATATGTCGGCTGAGCCCTCAGGCCCTCACATGCTATGCAGAGATTCGTTCCCGTTAGTAAAGAATATTACATTTTAGGGTAATGGTCTCCATAAGCATGACACACTAATAGATGGCTCCTGTGAAGACTCTTGTGGCGCGCACACTTCGAGCCCCACTGCTGAGTGTAACGAGCTGATAGGCATATGTTCACGGATGCCCTCAAGTAAACTGTCTTATGCTACGATCAGGAAAGCATCATCTGATTCAGCAGGATAAGAACGCGAGCCAAGCTTAAAAGTCGTTGCTCCTCTTGTTTTTATGTCTGAATTGCTCTGCCCTCAACCCCACTAGAGCTGGCCATGCGGCCTTACGGGCCAGAACAGCAGACGGCCTGGCACGTTGCAGTACCTTTTGCACCAAATCTCATAGGAGCCTCTCCTATAGTCCTAAGATTACACCGCCTCTTGTCTCTTGAGTAAATAATTGATGAATGTACTAGATATTATTTACAGGGATCAATATACACTGATATACGTATCCATTGTTCAGTTCACCCTCATTCTTGCAGCCGAGCACGGCAATGTTGCCTTGCTTGTAATGCGAATTCACTACACCCTAGCTTTACGGAACTATATGAGCTTTCTACGCATATGCTCCTTCCTTTATTCGAGTCCCACAATCATGACGGTAGATGCGAGGATAACAAATATGTTGACTCTGCACTGAGCCACTCTGTCAACCACAGAATCACCTTCGTAGCCAGCCCCCAACTTTGGCACGAAACGCCTATATAAGATTCAGACTGCTAAAGTGTGTAACGGTAAAAAACTCCACTGGCATCGAATGCAGCGCACGTTAGAGCCTGTTCATGACGTTTACCGCTTAAGTGCTTGGGTGCTTAAGTGCTGAACTGATTAAAGCTTCATGAACATTGGGCTTATGTGATGCTTGTTTCTCTTAGCTGATGAAGATTCCGGTCTCGTACTGTTAGCAAAGGGTTTGCACATGCTCCGCCAGCGCATTTATGCAGTACTTTCCGTCCGCGTAACGCTTACACGCTTACGATGTATAGCACTTTCTTATTTGTTCTTAATATTGATTTACCAGTGACTAAGCGTAGGGGATGCGCCTAAGCGTTGCAGGATTTTTGTTATATTCGTAATAGTAATGGAGAGAACTGAAGGAAAATCGTCATAAAATGTTTTTTTCTTCTATTTTATCTTCCCTGTCCTGTAATGTAAAAAGGTGTTGCAACATGCTAAGCCACCTCCTCTCCCAGCCCCAAAGCCCGCAGTGGAAGCTCTAGGGGGGTTTCAGAACAGAACAATTTTGGAAAAGAAACTATGAGGAGGAATTTTCTTTCACCTTCCTTAGTTTGTTATGTTGTTGTACCCGTATGATAGGTAAAGCCTGCCAGCTCGCTATACTCAGCTGTGGGGTTCTATGGATGCGCCCCACAGTAGTCCTTCAGGGATACAACCTAATAATACGTAAAAAGCCAACTGCAAATATTTATACTACACAAAAATACTCTACGTTATCTTGAACAAATCTCAGCATAGCATGAGAAGGACTGAGGGCCCTCTCCCACACCTCATCAGCTTACTGGGCCTGCAGTACTTATACTGTTATTGATTCGCATTAGCCCATCGTCTGAGGAAGCCTGGATCCGCACTACGCCTCAGAATTGTGTTTTTGGTCTACGTTTGTGTTGTTGTTGGGGGCACAAGACGCAGACCTGCTAGCAGAAACTGGTGCATCTACTGACGTGAGTGGGATCAAGTCCCGAAGGCCATATGATCAATAAGGCCCCAAGCTCCCCTTAAACTGGCCCTTCAGAAGGGGAGTTTTTCACATCAAGATTGTCTGCCCTTGGAAACGGCACTTCTGCTCGAGTAGTGGTTTGTACGGACGGGACCAGCACTTAAAGCTGGAAGATGACATGTTAAAGGCATTAACAAGTTGTGCATAGGGCTTATCTCCCCCATAAAAACTCGCCAAACTCGCTATTGAGAAGCATCCAACACCGCTGAAGACAAGCTCGGCAGTGACAGATAGCCGTTGCAGAAAGGAGGTGATATTCCCTCAGTTCGCAAACAGCCTAGTTACGGCGCTCCAAGGTTCTGTGGCAGGTACAGTAAGGATACAGGCTGAGCTGACATTCGGTGTATGCAAAATGAGGGCTCCTTTTCTGCATGACGTAACACCGTACACATTTCCGAAGCACATAGTTGGCCTTCAGTACGCAGTCTGCGAGTAAGTACAAATGCATCCTCCAACTTCAGGTGGACACTCCTATGCAGACTGCATTGCAAGCAAGTATGGTCACAATTAAAAGTAATAGGCGAACTTGGTTCAAGCGTAGAAACTAGCTTTAATATACGTAGCAGACGGGATGGGGGGGCAGCAACAGAAAAGCGCGGGTGCAAATGTGACGATCCGTAAGGTCCCTCAGCGCGATCAGTTTTCCTACCGAGTCGGCCCTTCACGCCCGCGCAAACCTGTGTCTCATAGCTACGTCTGCTGGGCACCTGGCTATCGAGCTGCTGCGATGCACTCAAGCACCCCAGAAACACACAGTTTTTGGCATTCAGAATTGCTCCCGTTCCCCAGAAAACGTATTTTCTGACACGTTTCGCATGTAAGGTGCTATCAATTATACGTTTTCGGGGTATATGGAGCACCGGTAAATGCAGAAAAACGTCTTGTATTATTCTACGTCTCTTGCGGAGAAACACACGTTGATGCTTGCTCAGATACTTTGAGAGCGCACGCAAGCTGCACTGCCTGCTAATCTGTCACTTTTCGAAACGAATAGGGATATGGAGTAGCGGCCTTGTAGTGAGCTGTGCGAAGACTCTCATGACTGGACGCTTCACACAACCTTGTATTTATGCCACTGGAAGTTCCCCCAAACAAGCGCGGCAGGTGGAAGCCTGTCATAACAATTCAGCGTTTTCATTATGATTGGCTTCAACCTCGTGCGTTTGTTCTCAAACTTTACACTGACGAAAACTATCATAAACTGCAAACGCACTTGTGCAGTACGAAGCAGCGGTCACAGTCGGCGGCGGCACATCAAATGCTGCCGGTTGCAGGCCGAGAACTTGGCCGCACTAGCATAGCCACGGGCAGTAAATTCACTTAATTTTCACGAACATTTTAGACTTGCTTTGTATTTAATGAACAACTAGTGAAGTAAACATCCCCTGAAAAAGTCCAACGGTAACACCAGTGTACACAGGTGCATGCATGCAACCATGGCTTCCGGCCAGCGTAAGGATCTATGCGGTCACAGGATTGAAACGACGGAGCTGTCTGATCAGCTTAAACCAGATGGTGTGCCTTTTTTGTAAGAGTTAGCGTGTTCACAAAACTCATCGCTGAGTCACAACGGAAGAAACGCCCCCCCAATAGCCTTCCTAGCGGCGGTTTCCAACGCTACTCGTTAGTTGGCAGCTTCACACTCGCTTGTCAGAATTAGTGGGACACAGCGTCTCATTTTGTAATCAATGAGCTTTGTTAACCTTTTTAAAACAAGTTAAGCTCAACCATTCATGGGTAGCTGTTGCAGTGATAGTTCTACAGACCATTTTGCTCGTTTTCTTGAAGGCACCCCCCTATGCCCGTGCATCTCCGAACTCCAGTGGGATCTCCCACGTTTAAAGAACTCCTCTCTTTCTTCTGGAAGAGGGGTTCGAGGGGCAGGGGGAGCGGTACGAAGTGCGATTCCAAGAGGGGGGGGGAAGCCTCGCCCTGGAAGATGCCAGGTGGCACTACGGAGTGCCATATACGACTTGCATAGGTTCTATGGCGCCGACGCTGCCATTCGCTGTTAACTTGTTTAGCTTGTTAGTTATGAGATGTGATTTTTTTGTAGCTAGATTTCTGAGGAACTACACCACTGAGGTCCTGCTCTAGCAGTGAGGACCCTTTCTGCGCTGGTGTGCAGTGAAAATGCTAGAATCGTTGTTGCTGCCGCACCTCAACACGGCCCTTTCTGCAGTGTTTGAGGATCTTGAGCCGCACCAGCTGTATGCGTCTATTTTGGGAGGTAGCTTGGTTCTGCGGAACCTGAAACTCAAGCCGGATGCTTTGGCGGCGCTCTCAATACCCGTAGACGTGACATACGGTCATGTGGAGAAGCTCGAAATCAAAGTATGTCCACATGTTTATTAATGTGCAGTCTTAACCGTCAGAATATTTCAAGGAACGCTTTGCTGGTTCCGTGCGCAGCGTACCGCCTTGACTGCGCTGTTGCCAATCGCGCTGTGAACCTCCTCACGCCTGTGTTTACACTTGTATGTGTGTCCTACGCCTCCTACAGCTCAACTTACTTCGTCTACTCACCGAGCCTATAGTCGTGAAGGCTGAAGGTGTGCTGGTAGTTGGTACCACCCAGCCCCCATCTGCATGGGATGCTGAGAGAGAGGAATTCCTGCGTGATCAACAGCGAAATCTCACTCTCTTAACGGACGAATGCTTGACCTATGCGCGGGAAGAATCGGGTCTTCCCTCTGTGTTGCAAAGAGCAGCGTATGCTGTTATTCAACGAATTCAAATATCAGTGAGCAGGTTAGAGGTAAGGCTGGAGGACACTGAAACAGCATCAGGACAACACTTCGCCTTTGGCTTACGCGCAACACGGTTGTTCAACGTTCGATGTGATTCCAATTGGGATGCGGAAGGCCAGCCTTCCGCGGGTATCCCTACATCGGGCAACGGCAGCGCTGGTCATCCGACGGCCTCACGTAGCACATCTTGTCAAAGTTGGCTTGACTGGATAAAATCTTTTGGGGGTCGGCAGGGAAACAATGAGGCCCCTGACGAGAAGATTCCTGAGGCATTCCACTTGAAGACGGTCATGGAAGATACCTGCGCGTATTTAGACCCCATCAACAATGGCCACGAGCAAGTATCGTGGCTTCCATACCCGGCCTCGTACAGAGGAAAGATACTTGAAGACCTGCAAAAGTACCTTCTCGTGGATTATCAGTCGTCCAATGCAAAAGAATCTACGCCTTGGTCCATCTTTAGAAGGCCCGGTGATGGCGAGGGGCAAGGCATTGCAGGTGTCCTACCACTAAGCACCCTGAGCCAAACTGTGAATGCAAGAAGAATGCGGACCGCTGCCACGTCTGGCGTTCAAGCGTCCACGCCAGATCAAAACCGGCAGCGGGAAGTAGGAATCGTAGACAAGGGAGCGGCAAACTCTATATTTCACCCTCCTGCTGCAGTGGATAAGACTGAAAATACTGGAACAAACATGTCCTATAATGCTGATCAGCAAGAGAAGCGAGCCGAATTCTTGCGTTTCAGCGATTTGTATTGCCCGAAGGTCCTCTGGCAAATTGCAAATCGAACTGCTGCTCACCATATGTACATCCTCAAACCGGGAGAGGTGGAAGTTAGAGTGAGGTGCGTACAGCGACCAACAGCTCCTTCTCCTGGCAGCGAAAGAGCCTTTCCACGCCCTTCTCCGTCGGCTTCGTACTTGAGGTCCGCATGTGATGACGCCAGCGGTGGACCAGTAGTAAAGGGCGAGTCGAGAGAAAATGTGGCGGCAACGGCCGAACTAGAGAAGGAGCCGCTGCCCGCTCTCACCGTCATTATTGTTTCTCGGAATAGCCTTTTGCAGTTTACAACGTTTCAGGTAGCCTGCATTTTTCGTTGGCTACACTATGCTATCTTTTTATACCAAGAGCTCGTATCAGGCGTCTATGCAGAATGCCTGTAAGTCAGAAACATTTCAGCTGCTGCCGTCATTTGCCGGTGTTCCTGGCTATCTTCCCGAACCGACTGATGTGCTTTCATTCTGACACCCTTTTTCAGGGAGCTTACACCAACAGAAGATGAGATGGCGAACTACCGGTCTGCCTGGCGCCGCCATCTCGTGAGCTACGCTTTGACTGCTACGAATACTGGAAAAGCTCTTAGCTGCTCAACGAAGGCAGGGCAATGTAAGCCAGCATTGGCTTCTGCAAGCTCTGTGGAAACCAGAGACTGGGAGACTCAAGGAGCCACTGACGAAAAAGTTATTCAAGAATTCGAGGCAAAGTATTGGCCAACAGTTATTCTCCCCTTGCGGCAGTTGGCGCTTCAAGACTTAAAGCAGAAAGCGTGCCGCGGCCAGTCTCAGCGTGTAGCTAGCTACTCTGCACAACAATACACAGGGGGTGGAGGGATAACAATTTCTCGTAGAACATCCGACGATGGGCAGGCAGTAAGCAGAATATACTGCCGTGATGCGGATGGTCCGGAATGTGTCGTTGCTTCGTCTGGTAATGGGGCACAGACTGGCTCAGTGCAAGGACTGGTAGATGAGATAGCAGAAGAGTTGTCTGAGGCATCTGAAGCAGAGCTACAGATGATTAAATGCATTCAGCAGATGCAGCCTTGTCGGTTTTCCAAAAGTGTCCAGTTCGCCGTGGAGCTCTACGATTTGGAGGTGACACTGGCGGCTGCGTACGAAGCTCCTGCATGCATACGTGTAAATTTTGATGAGCTATATGCCCATAATGCAATGTTTTACGACCTTCGCATGCAACTAGTTGCTGCGTTTGAGGGCGTTCAAATCACTGACAACCTGATGCCCAACTTAAACCATCGTCGCGTGGTAGCCAGCCGATCGCGTACAAGATCCTGCACGGAAGGCCATAAGTTCGCCGACCCTTCGAAAGGGCTTCGCAAAGACAGTTCGGCTGAGCCGTCCATTTCTTCTAGCGGATGTGCGAGTTGTGGGTCTAATCATATTCATGGAACTCCTCCATTGTCGCCACTTCAACCTATCAACACTGCGTGTATCCTAGACTGGAGCACGAACTGCGTACGGCAAGGATGTCCACTACAAATTTCAAAAAAAGAATATGATGGAGGGATGCAGACTAATCAGGAGGCCCGTGCAGGGGGGTGGATGCGCTTTGATAAGTCCTTCGTGCCGCTAGAAGGTATCCCAGATATGCGGTTGTACCTTCAAACACGTGGTTCACTGCTTTGCACAGTATCACCAGCTGCAGTTGCGTATCTTGTGGAAGCTCTGCAAGAACCAGTGCACCTAGTGCAAGGAAGCAGCATCCTCGAAGCGGCTAGCAGAGAAGTTCAAGATGCACTGCACAGAAATGAATTATTTTTAGCCCAGCTACTTGTTGGGGAGGTTGACCATCCAAGGATTGACATGTGCGTTGATGTTCCCGCATCACACAAGTTGCTCCTTCCATTTAGCCATGATATTTCGCAGTGCCGCGGTGTGCTCTTTCATTCGGGGGTGATATCGGTCGACAGCCGCTTAAAAGAGTCCCAGCAACAGCCGTACCCATCCGGTCAGACCAACACTGGCGAAGCATACGACAGATATTCGATCATTATTACTGGGGCCTGCTTGCAGCGGGTCATAAATTGCCAACAGGTTGAGTGTAGCCTATCTGCTTGCCAAAAAGATTCGTGTGCGCTCTTGAACAGCAAAGCAGACGCCCCGAAAAGGTGTTCAGTCGCCTTAACAGAGATAGCCACAAACGAAATCCGCCCTCATAACACATCTTCATCTGTAGGGAGCAAATGCAGCAGGTGGGAGGAACTCCGGACGAACTCCGCCGCTAGGCGGCACAGGGAATGGATGCGTGACAGCACAGACAACCGGCTGGAGATGTCTGGCCAGGCATCCGTTAACGAAGCAGGCGAAGCCAGTGGCAGGTTTGGAAGCTCAGAGTCAATGGATGATGGTCCAAGAAAGTACATATTGTGGCCAGTAGGCTTCATTGCAAATATTGATGTCTGCAACAACCTTCATAGACCTACGGACTTGCCGGCGTTCGCTATAATCTTTCAAGATCAAGATTTCAGGTGCAAAAGAGCACAGCTGCCCACATACGTACTAATCAGTTTGCTATTCCAATTGGAATCAGCATCTCTTCAAGCGGCTGAGAAGGACGCTGATTTGGTTGGTCTGTTGACAGTGCGATGCGTACCTTCCGTTTTTACGCAGTGGCGTTTGTATTACTTTAACAGACAAGGATATAGTGGCTTTCACTGGACTCCTCGGACAGCTGCAAAGCGTACTACAGGTTTTTAGTTCACTGTGGAATGCAACATCGGAAGTTGACGACAGCCCAGAGCTCGAGTCTGTACCCAGCACAAGTTCTGCCACGTCCCCACCAACGGAGAGAAAGGATTCGAGCAGTACTAAATTGCATTTGCTTGAGTCTTTTTCAAAGACCAAAAAGGTATGCCTTGGTTCCCTTGAGTAAACGCCGGGCCAAACAGTCACACTGAAATGCCCCGCAACAGAAAGGATAGGAATTTCACTTCAGATTTCAACGACCCGTACTCACCGACGGACGTCTTGGGGAGCGCTGTAGACTGCTCAAGCCAGAATGCCGCTTCATGGTTGTGTATATTGCCTTACATTTTAGTGTTACATTCTTTGTTCTTCGTTCCATTGCCAAGTTAGCGAAGAACGTTTTGATTTCCCGTGCGACTTACAGTAGAGCCAATCGTGAATACACTAGTGTGATACTTGAATTTGTGTAGTTTCAGGATCGCATGCTTCGCGCAAAGTATGCAGCAGACATTGTCCGACATTATAGCATTCGTGCACGTCGCAAAACCGTACGCGATGGAACGTCCGGGGGCCTGAGCGACTTATCTGGAAGAGTGAGCGGGGATTCCCTGCGCAACACAGAGAAAAGCTCCGCTTTTAGAAGAGTTGCTTTTTATCTTCACCGCAGCCTACACAATTCTGGCGTTCCTGAGCAACCCACCGCGATACCGCGTAAGCGTACAGCGCATATGCTCCTTCTCAGCCGCATGCAGCGTGCTGGTACAAGCCTCCGTGACAAGGAGCCATCTGCGTTCGATGAAAGCAACAGCGCGAACCTTCAGCCAGTTGCGCCCCTTCGCAAACAACTGACGCCAGGGTCATCTACATTCGAGGAAGTCGAAAACAAAAGCGACGACTACCCCGAATTTGACAGCAAATCTAGCGAAACAGCACTTGATATGGATGAAAGCTCAGAATCGTCTCAAGCGACGGAACATGAAAGTAGCCAGCGAGTATCGAACGGGCTAATTGGGTTCGACGTGAGGCTGGGTTTGTCAATTCTAGAGTTTCGACTGTACAAAGAGAAAAGCACTGTTGCCCTGAGAACTACAACTGCAAGCGCAGCTGAAAATGCAGCTAGTTTAACTGGAAGGCGCATATGGAGCCTGGGAAACAATTTACTTTTAAGGTGTAGTGTGGGAAACTCTCGCATGCGGCTAAGCTGTCTCGCTCAGAGCACATACACTGCTTGCATGGCAACTGTAGATGAAGTATGCGTTTCTCTAGGACGGCCTGTAGTGGCTGATACACCTGAGCCTGTGCTTCCGGAAGCTAGGGGAGGAGGTCATGATCAATTGAGCGGAATGAGTGATGCATCCATCGGAAGCAAACACTTCCAACGCACTGGCTTCGCAAGCTCCAGCTCTAGCTCTGAAGGCTGTACAATCGGCGGGGCAGCAAATATGGGCCATGTGCCTATGGATTCAGATCCGTGTGGCGCTTCCCCTGCAAAATTCCCTGTCGAGCAGTATTCCTCCACACCGTTCGTACAATTTATGCCTCCTCAGTGCACTAACTACATCGATATTGAGCAAGTTGCAGCTGACGTTGCAGCTGCCCTCTCCGAAGCGGCAAATTTCCAAGGCCAATCTTCCTCAAGCGTGGCGCTACCTTCTGCAACCGTCACGGCGCTACGAAGAGCGCTTGCTAGCAAACGGTTGAGGCTGACGACCCGCTGGATGTTTCCACCCCCGTATCCAGGGATGAAGGCTTCAGGGGAGTACAAAACGGAAAAAGTTGGAGAGTCATCTGAGATGGAAGAACAGGATTCCAGATGCAATCCAGTGACCAGCGGCAGTGCGTGTGGCGGAAGTAGCAATCCGTACGATACCATCAGCGGCGGAACTGCTGAGAGTGCAGCAAAAAAAGCCGATTTGAGCGCTTTCTCGTCTAGTCTTGATCCGCTACGAAAGGACGCTGCTGAGGAAGAGGTCTTGGTCGAGGACTTGGTGGGAGACCGGTGCTTCTTCATACCTGCATGCATGCACGCAGCGATAGCAACGAGGAAAACCTGGCAAGCACTAGCAACGAAGGTGCCTGCTGTCTCCGTTGAAGCGTCGCTATGCCTTAAAGCGCTTATACATTCTATGGACGTCCGGTGCACCCCTCTCCGGATTACACTTGACTGGGGGATTGTTTCGGAACACATCGGTGGGTCGAGCAGCTAGAGGCGTTGCCGGTGTGCCACCTGTATGCCAAAGCGTCATTTCGTAGGCTCCTTCGTGTGGCGTTATCTCCGATTCAGGTATTGCAGGGGAGGTGGCTTGCGATGCTAGTAACGCTTATGCAGCAGCTGCTCCCAAGTCTGCGGCGCCTGCGGAAGCTGCAACTTCGGCAACTGGGCCTGAATCGCAGGACCCAAGCATCGGTCAAACGGTTCTAGAAAGCGACAAGCCTACTGCAGGGAGCAGAGATAAGAGCGGGGCGCAAAACTGGAACAGTGAAAGTGTGGACGTTGTGCTTGCAATGCAAAATGGAGACGAACTCCCCTGGAGAGTCCGTATTAGCATTCTTGTCACTCACTGCGATGTTGTTGTGCCTACCAGTACGCCTTCTCCGTATCCAAACCTTCCCCTAGCTCCGGTATTCTGCAGTGACGACCAGTTGTTCTGGCTACAGCAGATTCCCAGCTGTTCCACGCGACATCCACCACGTCGAAAAACTCTTCTGGAGGCGCCTGCTGTATCTAGAAAGGTTCAGCCCCGTAGTAGTGTTTCCTCCCAGTATATGCAGTCGAGTTCCAAGGCCATATCCGGTCTGGAGAGCGCCGCTGGCTCCCCCGTTGCCTTGAGGCACAGCGGGCGAAATAGGGAAAGCGAAGCGGACAGAATGCCAAGAGAAGGCACCCAGAACTTACTGGAGGCAATACTAGCCACGGCCCCTCCTGTTTGCGTCTTTTCCTTTTCTGCCACCACTTCCTTTTATTCAGAGTGCCACTCATTCGTCAATGCAAACGACGCAGATTCGCGCACGGGAGAACCTGGAAACTATCAAGATGGAGTGAAGAGTACTCCTAAATTGCATAAAACCATGAGGCTTTTGGGACATGTAAATCAAGTGCGTTCCGAGTTGTTGCAAGGCCCAGGTGGTTCTGAAAAAGCTTTAGCAAATTTTGTTGAGATTTTGCGGAAGGTTTTGGGGCTTCCTGGACGGGACGCCCCAGGTCGCCCAGCGCTCGGAGGTTGCTTGAGGCCCACAGGATTCGGAGCTCCAGACTTGCCCCCATTAACACTTCTCGATGGGCATCGGATTGCGCGTAGCTTGTCTTGCAATGCCAGGAGGGAAAGATCTGCTTCCGCAACAGTGTCGCAACCAACTGCCGATCCCGTACTAGACGTCCCCCTCACATCCTCTGCCAGCCAAACTCGGGGTTTCCGCGCCAGTGTAGACTCAAATCGCAAAGGAAGGACCGGTTATCAAACAGTCCTGACTGTAGAAAGGCACGCCATCATTGATGGTTGTCGTTGCCGAATGAGAGCCTCCTACAGGACAGCTGCAGGGCCCGGCTGGGAGACTAGCGCTTCTCTGACACGAGCGGAGGAGCCTCCGCCGGATAGCATGCCGAATGAGAAGGGCGCAAAGAGGGGTATTGGTGCGGAAACAGCAGGAAGAAGATGCAGCCAGGCAGCGAACGTTTGTCAACGAGGAGAGAAGTACTCCGAGAACGAGGGGGAAGCAGTAATCGAGTTAGAGCCTTTGCTGGTAGGTATTTGCTGGTCTTTCTGGCTACGCGCATTTTGAAAACACCGACATTGCCCGTTAGTGCCTGTACTAGAGTTGACTGTTTGGACGTTTACGCTGGCTTATCTACTGTGAGAGAATGGACAGAACGGTATTCTGCGTGAACAGTGGCAGTCCGCATGCGGCATCAACTCGCAGGTACACTTGGAGCCGTCGGTAGTTGTCGCTGGAATGTCACTACTTCAGCTGCTTCAAAAGCTTTTCTTGACAAGTCCTACTGCAGCCTCAGCATTGCCGGCTGAAACAGCAGAAATGCACTCTGGAAAGAAAGAAGCTGATGGATCGGTCAAAGTATCCGAAATAAATGATACATCGACGACGACAGATCTCAAACGTCCGCGCACCTGCTTCGCTAATGCGGAGCCATCTGCCGATGTGGGAGTACTAGATAACTCTCGCCAACGGACACTGTTGGCAGCTCCTTGCCTCAGTAGTCAAAAACATGATGCAGTGCTTGCAAATGCCAGCTTTCTTGCTATGACATCTCCGGATGGAATTGGAAGAGTGCAATCATCTTTTGAGAGCCCAGAGTCTTCATTTTCTTCCGCAGTGGCCGAAGGTTTTGTGCCCTTCGCGGGCACACCTAGAGGGTTAGCAGTCGATGAAGGCCTCTATCAATGCACTATAGGCAGCTCAGCGGCCTCACGAAGCAAAGAAAGCGGCGTTGAATGCCATTCAGAGTCTACTAGGAACCGTACAACTGCTGCTCTTGAAGATACTGCCAAAACGAATGAAGACGCAGAAAACGCCTTGTCTTGGTTTTGGAGGATATTGAACTCCCTCGACGCCGTTCTCATTTTGAGAATACGGATGGAGTGCATCCAGTTTGAAAGCCCGTCCCTGCATTTCACCGTCGAAGATCTAGAAGTTAGCTGCGGTCTTGAGTAAGAGCTTTGGCTGTCGTTTCCCCCTGAATATATGACTTGCGTTTAGTAGATACGTGCAGAACCAAGCACTGGGTATTTTCCGTTTTTCTGCAGTTGCCTGCAATGATAGTTTGCGTTTGTGGTTTGCACATTGGCTCTGTTGCCAGGCTTAGTACGACTATGCTCTGTTTTGTGTACGGCAATCTCAGTTTCTGCAGGCTCTCCCCTTTCCTTGATGTTTGCTATCTCAAAGCAGACCCACGAAGTTACTCCTATATGAAAAGCACGAAACGACAGCGACAAAGGTCAGTGGCTGGTCGGTTTTCTCTGAGGCGCCCTCTACCTGACTCAGCCTCTCTCCGTAAGTCACAGGTGTTGGGCGGACGGCAGCAACTCCGACAAATTGTTCCCCCAGAGCCAAAGGAGCTGCCAAGGACTCAAAGGGGCACAGCCAAGAAAGATGATAAGGAACAGAAGGAATTCTTGTTTGGCATTAAAATGATGCTATCTGCGGAAGCTTTACATAAGGAAAGAATAGCCCTAGAGTCCATCCTGGAACCGTGGTACTGCTCCGTGGATCTTCGATATGTACGTCCATTCCTATCAATGTTGAGGCATGCACCACGTTTTCCCCGACTCATACGGTATTTTACAAAAGACATTGGTGGATTGCGCTTGCTTGCTGATGCTACGTAGACCCCAGGAGATCTTCTGCTGAAGACGCTACTACCACGTTCTCCCTTGGAGAAAACTGCACGCCAGTTGACCGAGCGGCCTACAGTGATGAAGAGAGCAAAGTCTGTATGGGCATCCGGAGCGCATGTGAAGGATCTCAAGCAAAGAGACGGACGACAACGTTCCATCCTCTTTAATACCAAGTCGGAGAGGAAGTCGAAATATTTCCCGAACAACTGGAGCTACCGTGGCTCGGAGGGGGACTTCGCAGCTGCAGAAGCAAGAAGAGGCATTGACACACATGGTAATTGTTACCCTTGGACAAAGGACTCCAGAAACCGCAGTAGAAAGCTTCAGCAGCTTGCAAGAATTTGGGGCAAGTACGGAACGGAGCTCTGCGCAGAAGTATACTGCTCCTGGATTAACCTGACAGCAGCGCCTTTCCTCATGGATGCAGTACTAGACACTGCCAACCTCATCGAGGCAGCTCAACGAGCACTGCAAGAGCAACTCAACAAGTGCGGGCCTATCCCATGCCAGCTTGCAACAGCACCAAGTATCTTTACGTGCACTTTCCCCACCTGGTAAAGCATCGAAGCTTCGCACAACGCTACGGTTGATGTCTTCTGCCCTGCGCAGGCAGCAACATCTGCGCGTTGCTCTCCGCAGCGGCTCTCCACCAAGTAAGTTGTCAAACCATACGACGAACGCTATCGTCCACCCTAAACCGATTCAAATTCTCCTGAACGCCAGTTCTTGAAAGCGTATCCACAGAGCGCTTGTCGTCCTACTTTAGCTGGCGTTATTTGTGCTTTTCCACCGTAGAACAATATATTTTCGCGGTAATCCTTGGAAGGTTCTAAATCCCCAACTGTAATGTGGCATTGGCGTGCAGGCTTTTTTCAGCAATCTAAAAGCACGATGAAAAGCATCGACTTTTCAAGGAAGAACATTCGAACGGCTGATCCTCAGGGAAGCTCGGATACGCACGCTCTTCCCGAAGGCAACAGCAGAATTGAGAGCGCCGCTCCCGACGTCTCCCCAGAGCGCAGGAAGGAGGGTCTTGATCCCAGCAAGACACTCGGCGGTGCAGAGTCGGCGTCTGCATCTGCCGCCGAAGGCCAATCGTACTTAGAGCATAGCGGCCTGGCAACCGGCCCCCTCCATTCGGTACATCCACCTTCTGTTTCTCGTGTTCACGGGTCGCTTGGATCTCCCGCAAAAGGTTTGCAAGGTCCTTCTCAAAACAATGTGGCCGTGGAAGAGCAGCCTCTGCCCTTGTTGTAGGCATCCGCACATTCACCGCCAGCCAGCTGCTCTCCTCTACATCTGTTGTAAGCAAAATTTGCCACTCAGCTGGCTAACGTGTTTGTTTCTACGGGAAATTAACTGAGCTACTAATAGAGATGGAGTTGAACCCGTCGTGCTGTTTCTTGCCACGCAGAGTAAACATGACAGGCCTGCTTTTACTTGTCCACGTCCCGAATCCAGAACGACGTGCTTCAGATGCACAAGGAGAGGAAAGCAACTCCCTGATTCTCGATCACCACCTTGTGACAGATGATTTCGGCATCACACGCCGGAAAGCTTTTGCAACGATTGCATTTGCAGCAAGCAACCCCTCCTCAACCACTTCAGAAGAAGCTGAAGACGATGAGCACGACGGCAGCAATTCCTTGGATGGAAGTGCATACAATGCAGCCACCAACGCCAACCCGCTCACCCCTTTACCTGAAACACAGGCAGACACAGACAATGCGACTGGAGGCTGGAGACATTTATGCCATGGAGAAAGCTTTCACGTGCCTTTAGACGACCACGTAAGGTTCATTCCTTACACCTGCTTACTGTCACTGCATGACGCGTTGCTGTCTTACCACTTCTCAGCCGGTTAAAAACTAAAGCTTGTCGTGTGTGTTGGCGCTTGCTTTTTCTGTCAACTGGGAACACAGGGCCAAACAAGGAAGGTTGTCGTACGCTTGCAAATTGCGGGGTCGGAGTTTGAGATAGACGACTTGTGCCTCGATGGAAGCCAAGTTTCCGTGCGAGAGCTCCCAATCAAGCTGCCAGCACATCTGAACAATCCACCGATGCGGGATGCGAGAAAAAGGCAGCGGCACGAGTTACTCCATGCCTCAGCACGCATCCTTGTCAGGACAGTGTTTGTACCCAGTAGCCGAACGTTTAATACCTACCTGTCTTCCATGGTCTCCATCCGAAATAACTTATCTACCCCAGTGATGGTACGTTCGTATATCGCTTCCTCTCCGCTTTGTTATATTTAAACTCCTTGCTATAATTTACAGGGGCAGATTAAGTTCCAAGCTCTGTGTTGTGCCCAAAGACGTGCTCTATACATAGAAGTTTGTGAACTGCTATTTAGGTATTCCCTCATCCTGCCGTTGCTGTACTGGATACGCCAGTCGAAGATTCTTCAACTGCGTCGTCAAGTTCCTCTGTTGACGATCGGCAGAGCGTCGAGGCACCAAAGGGCCCTTCCCCATCTTCAAGAAAATCTTTGAGCCCAAATCGAAATACAGATACAATAAATGTCCCCTCTGCCCCCGTAAGCGTGGAGTCTCTCGCACCAGAGCCATTGGTGCAGAAAGAAGTCCTAGACACCGCAAGCCATGAACATTCAGATGCTAACAGCGAACATTCCGCCAGGCGGGCGCCGTCATCTGATGGAAGGTCTGCAACCGAAACCACAAATGTCTCTCCTTGCTGTCCCTTGAATATTCAAGAACGTGGGGGAGTCGTGCATGTTCCTTTGTCTTGGATCCTCCCCAGAGCAGTTGTCGCTCACACACTGGGGTACTTGGGCCTGGACAGAACACGTGAGGGTTCCTTTGTAGAACCCCGAGACTCCCCAGCAAAGCCAGACCCACTTTCCGCCACTCCAAGACCTGAGGGTACGCCGGCTGTACATCCTGCAGATGCCAAACCGCAGACATCTAATTCTTTATTTTTCTGGAGGCACAAAAACCTGACAGACCAAACGAACCGTGGAGCTGCTGTTATGACGGTGCCCCTAACAAGCATTAAGATACACGGGAAGGCTACTGCGACCCGTGGCCCACGGGTGGCCTCATCGGAAGAAGTAGAAGCTTTCCCCAATTTTTATAATAGTATCATGGAAAAGTGGAAAGATGACATGGCCGTTGAACCTTTGTATATTATTCCCTCATCGTGCGTCACTGCGATGCTTGGAACCGAAGAAAATACCCCGGATAATAAGGGGAGCAACGGCCGTGACGGCAATACAGAGACTCCAGCACAACGGCTCATGCCTCCCCAGAAAAGTAACTATCGCCGGCTGACAACGGATAACCGGCGCCGCCTCATAGCACTCCTTTCAAATAGGCAATCCACTCCTGCATATTTTGAAGCTCAGGGAATGGAAGCCAAGGTAAACGATAAAATTTCGCTGCATCGTAGTGGCAGTTCCTCATTCCCAGTAGTCTGCTTTGCAATATTTATCTGCTTACGGGTAGAACCCAGGACGGCACACCCTGTTGAAGGCCAGCAGACACCGCGCTAGCGTTCGGCAATTCATATCTCTCGGTTAACTGGCCATCAATGCTGCTGACTCTTTTAAATTGCATAAAGACGTTCCACAAAATTTTGGCTTAAGTAACTTGTAGTTGAACACAACCCCTTAATAAGTTATCCTCTTCGGAGCTGTTGGCCGCAGTCCGCCCCCTTGTGTGCTGATTTTGCAAACTTTCAGGGCTACTATGACTTATATTCACTCGTTCGCTCGATTGGAGCAAAACCTCTGCTGGAGCACTCTACCCTTCAGCAGATCGCATTGGAAACCAGTCACAGCATCATCTCCTTTGACTGCCGGCCTCAGGTTTTGGAATTTTTTTACAGACAGTCGCCATCAAACAAGGTCAACACAGATGCGGCCGGCGATCCTATCAGCAGCACATTAGACCAATCAACTCACATTAACATCGACAATAACGAAGGGAGCCGTGTAGTTTCTAATGCAATTGCCGTCACAGTTTATGGACAGTCGCGCGACTTAGTATCTGAATCGGATCCGTTGTTCTTTGAAGTTGGGCTCAACGCACCCATAAGTGTAAGTTCTCAACCTTTACATTATGTCGCAAACATATGCGTATTTGGTAATTACGCTCTATCCTGAGTGTGAATTTGGTAGTTTGCATGTGTGCGGTGGTGAGCAGCTTGGAAACCGGCTCTTCGAACCTCTTCGGGTGTCAGTTATCCCCAGTAGCTCGGCAACTGCACAACGCCATCCTGCTGCACCCACAGCTCCGGACAACCAAGAACGGCTTTTGCCTTATGGACGCATAGCAGCTGGGGGTGACATTGATGTCCAAAGGGCTGCTAACGGATTTGTTTTCGAGTTGGAGACAACCGCCTGCGGGTCGGAGTACCGCCACATATATGAATCCAAGCCCTTGTTGATAGACTGTCATGCGCCTGCACCCGCAAGTGCGCTGGACCTTACAGTATGCTTCGTACGGTCTCGTATTCTTGATAGTTCTGGAAATAGAATACAGCAACGCTCAGCACTGTATCGCCACCTTTCCAGACATCAGCCATCGGAGTTTTCTGTCCAAGCTGAAGTCCTGGGATGGGTGCAGCAAAGTGCTGGTTCTTCAAACGTCGGGGGAAGTGATAATAGTTCGTCTTCTTGCGACTATGCGGGCCTAACGAATATCAAGAGGCACATGTGGTGCACCTGCGTCAGAATGATTCGAATCTTTGCACCCTTCTGGCTGGTCAATAGACAGCCTGAGGCACTGGCTGTGTCTTACTGTCGCCGCCCAATTCAGTATATGGCTTCCTTTGACTGGAGGCTCTTGGGGGTGCCTTCACAAGGCAAAGCATATCTTGCTCTAGGAATTGCTCCTGATGATGAGGCAGCGCACCTTCGTTTGCAAACGGACGCCATTGGTCCAGCTCTGGCTGAAGATATAAAGGCTGCCCGTTCAAGGAGGACGGCAACTGCAAAGCTGAGTCCAGCATTTAGAATTGACATTGTTGGCCGTCCTTCGACAGTTTCTGTGCGAATGAATACATCAGGGAATGCTGAATCCAAGGGAACAACGGCCACAAAATCGCGTCACTTTGGAGTCACTGTGGCCTTGGCTCCTCCGCCTTTCTCCCGCTCTAGAATAATAAGCATCCACAGCCGCTTCATACTAAGGAATTGTCTTTCATGTGACATATGGGTGAAGGAAACCAATGGCGATGCTCCCCCGCTTCGTCTCGTGCCAGGCTGTCAATGCGCTTTCCATCCTCAGGCTTTAGGACCCCGTGGCGAAGCCCTCATATGCATCACCAAAACAGACCCTGCAATCATTGAGACACTTACGAAAACAGATGCAACTGCAACTACCCAGTTGTCGAATTCACATGGTGATGGAGTTGTAAAGGCCCACTCCATAGAAAAGGTTGTGTGGTCATCTCAGTTGTCGGTATCCCGCAGCGCCTCCATTCAAGTTCGCCTGAAGACCCCAGTAGAACCTTTACTGTGCTCTGCGGGAGGCATTGACCAGCGCTCAGGCCGAGGTGTCCTTGGGAAAGGTGGAAGGGCACTATCGTGGGAACACCACAACATTCATATTGCTATCCGGTCTCTTGAGAACGCTGCATTTGCGGTGGTATTCAGTGAGCCTTTGGCATCAGAGTATCTTTTGGTAAATAATACTAACCACATAATTGCCTTTGCTCAGAGTGGCATTCGAAGCAAACATGTCTGGGAGATCCTCGATAGAGGTAGCCAAGTCGATTACGCCTGGACGGATCCTCAGCGTGAAAAAAAGTGTTTGCGGTTTTCTTTCTGGGACCAGAACCAGAAGGTGGTGAAGACATGTGACATAGCCAGAGTTCGACTCCACCGACCCCTAACATTGCCAAATTCAAAAGAAAAGGTTTATTTCGTTACGGACGTTCGCGGCAGCAGGAGGCGAGTAACCATCACACTTGATGCGCCTTCTGCCGCATTGAAGGATGCTCTTGGAGCACGCAGAGTTTGGAAAAACCTACAGCACGACCTCTTCAAGATTCGTAGAAAAAGAGCGCAACACAAACAGAAAAGAGAGATCAAAGCATTGACCCTAACTCGTCCCCATTCACAGATTGATGTGTGGCGGCCAATCCGTGCTGGTAGAAAGCTGACTGTTCCCACTTACAAGCGACAGCTTTCGGCGACGCCTCGAGAGCGAGAGACAGGGGCAGATCAAAATGCATTGAGCGTCCCTCTCAGCCAAACAACTGTTCCCAAAGATCCATTGCGTCAGCGTAAAACGCTTAGGTTTCAGAAAAGGGAAACACTAAGTTTAGCGCGCAGGCTGAGGAGCGGCACCGTTGCTGGCAGTGCGGAGAGCTCCTCCGGGTCTTCGGTGTTTGCTGAAGATACAGGAGCTAATGAAGGGGGACAAGCAGCGAGTGGATCTGGTGAGTCACAGGAGATGGAAGCCAAGGACCTGCGGCGACACCGGATGACAACCCTTCTGAATCGCCGCAGTATAATAAACGTCCCCAGCTCACGAAATATCCGCAATAGTTTCAAGCGGACGGGGAAGGGGGGGAGCTACGAGCTCTCCCAACGAACGCCGGTATCGTCGACATCAAGCGAGATGAACCAAGTTGACGAGCCGAGCAAAGACGCTTCGTTTCTTGAAATGGGTTTTTATGGGGGAATCATACTTCAAGGATTTGGCATATCTTTGGTGGATCCTACTCCACATGAACTGGCATTTTTCTGCGTTTCGGGAATTCGTTTTGAGGTGGGAAGACTCCACAAAGCAAGTGTACACGACATTCGTTTCTGTATAAAATCCCTTCAGATAGACAATGGTGTTCAGGGCGCTCAACACCGAACGATCCTTAGACATGCAACACTCGAAGAACGAGTCGAGCTTCACGGAGAAAGCAAATTAGTCCTTCCAGGAGATGGATCAATGACAAGCGGAGCTTCTGAAGGCCTTTTATCTTCCGTTGCTAAGCCTCTGACAGCATGGGAATCATTGGAAGAAAGCCAAGGGGAAAAGCGAAGCCTTTTTTTCCGCCTTCAGCTGGGTGGTCAATGGAGGGATGAGGCGACGTTGCTAGACTATGTTGATGTCGAGCTTGCACCCATAGCACTGCACGTTGAGGCAGATACTACTTCTGTACTCCTTCGTTTCCTTATGCAGCTCGTACAAAACAGGACATTTTTCCTCATGTCACTGCAAGAGCGCAACATACAGCTGGTGCAAGATGCAGCTGGCAATAAAGTCAACACTTCCGGGTACCAGCAGCTGCGAGCGTTTCCGCAAACAACGGTTCCTGTGGCAGCTAGCTTAAAGCCTCTGTACATCCATGAACTTGCGATAAGACCTATGCTGATCATCTTTTCCACTCGATCCCAACGCCTGCAGAGGGGCCATGACACTTCAGGGCACGGAAACTTGGTGGCTATACGCCAGTTTGAAGTTCTTGGAGATCGAATGACTGACATAACGAATTTTCCGATGAAGTCCCGGCTCCTGGTTCAGCAGTGTGTTTTCACAAATGCTGAACAACTAGTAACTGATTTAGGATCTTCTTATATTCAACAGTGCATCTGGCAGCTTCACAAACTGGTGGCGTCCATAGATGTCATAGGAAATCCTCTTCGTCTCATCACTGGAGTATCTTCCAGCTTGCGACTCGCCACTGCCCATCCCTCTGACGGTATGTCAACTAGTTCTTAGGAAGCACCAATGATGCCCGGCAGCACAGTATCCCACTCATGTAGAATTTCTGAGGACAGCGTAGCCAGCTTTTCCATAATTCAGATCCACTGGGATAGAGTGTAGCGCCTAGCACAAATTATTTCATTAGACGTAAAACGATAATTCCCCCTACGCCATATTACACAATAAATTCCTAGTGTTCTTCTGGTGCTACCATTTCTGCTGTTGAACTGACGCTTGGTAAGCAAGTGTGCCGTGTCCTCAGAAGCTTCCCATGCTGAACCAAAGACCTGGAGGGCGATCCACTGTGTGTCAACATTGGTGCTGAATTTCGCCAGTGAATTTTTCACCTCCATAAGCAACATAGCTGGAGGCCTTGTTAAGTTGTTGAAATTATTGGGACTCACAGATGTACAAGGTATTTTATCCTTTTGGCCTGAGTCTATCCGGGTGCCCCGAGCTCGAATTGAACGACCAGAAACATTCCTTGAAGGTATTTCTGCTGGATTCATCGGATTCGTTCAGCTGATTGGAGGATCTGTACTTGGTTTGAGGCATATTTACGATCAAACTGCATTAGAAGCGGGGATTTGGAGCTTTTGCACCGACATTGCACAGAGAATAGCATTCGTTCTAGCTTCTCCGGCTGTCGCCGTACTTGTCCTCATCGCAGCTGTTGCTGCAGGAATCAGCAGCGCTCTCCGACATAAATCTGTAATAGAAAAAACCAGACCACGCCGTGTATTTCCACCAGAAATGACTGTGTCGCAATATAGGCTTCATACAGCACGCGCTATGACGTTATTGGAGGCAAGCACGAAGAAGAGCCTTGTGCCAGGAATGTTGCAGTCTGGTATTATATCTCTGCCACTGCCGCAAGCTCGTTCGCCCCGCTCCCGCAGGCAGCATCACGGTGAAGAGAACAAGAGAAATCAAATCAGAGACTATTTGCTTGTAACTTCTGACTTTGTGGTCTGCTTACGTGACGGAAAGGCTCAGTGGGTCTGCCGCAAGGAGGATATTCAAGAATGCGCTGTGAACATGCCAGCATATGTATTTGGCGCTCTACTTGCTCAACAAGATATGTTCGTGCGAAATAGAGAGAGACCTGATGCTACATATGCTGATGAAGAAGCGCCGAATCGGCCTGAACAACGCGAAACAGCCCCTTATGATCAAGGTAGCTTATGTGTTGTGCATGTGAAAGTTGCAAACCAGCTAAGGCTACCGGAGAGCGTCTTACATAATTTTTCAGCTGCATACAAAGCATATCTACGCCACGCCACTGCCAAACGCAGCGTCGTACAGGCATTAAGGGAAAATTTCAAGATTCGCTTCGGCGCCAGCGACCCGAACCTCACCCGCAGTCGTCATCTAAGCCAAGCAAGCGCCCCGCATCAGCAAAGTAGGATCGTGGGAATTGGGGGGAGTGATGCTGTGCCTTCATTTGTTGACGGTACGGCATACAGTATTCCAAATGCAAGAAGTATACTATCTAGGAATGAGAAAAATCGTGACCAGAACGACGAACCCCAAGGTATCTCAGACCATCAGAATGGAGGAGAAGGGTCGCAAGTATCCACCAGTCAGCACAGGTTTGCCTTTCTGGGAAAATTAATTACCTGTCAAGCCTGTAGGAGGCGCAAAGCCAACGGAAGTAAAAACAAGCTAGGCAAAGGAATAAGAGGGCTTTCGTCTTGGCCTTGCTGGGATTGGCTGTGTTTCTGTCGCCGAGAGAAACCTCCTTCTGAACCAGAGGCAGTAACCTTCACCGTTCGTGCCTCAGATAGAGATATGGCATTACAAGTATTTGATGCTCTTTGCAGTACAACCGAATGCTATTTTGTGGCTAGGCGGAGTGGAAGTAATACTGACAAGCTGAACTAGCCAAACGGAAAGCACTGGATCCGTTGCCACCTACGGTGTTCAGCTGCTGTGGAGAAGAGTGCTTTTCTCCGAACCATACATGTATTGACACCCCAATGCTGAAGCCCACAAATTTGATTTTATCTTTAAACATAAACAATAGCAATACACTCCCCCTAACCCCATGAATGTCAGATGCAGTGACAGAGCAAAGGAAATCAGCTTGAACGAACAGACAGCAGACTGTGCCTGGAGCCAGGGGGATGCTGCAACGCCAGACCATATGTTACATAATGCAAGATATACTACCAGGAGTAGTGTAGTCGAGTAGGCCTGCATATGGCATCTCACATACACCCCGCATCAGAGCCGCCAGCACACCGGCGTGGCCTCATGAAACCATACTATTCCGCATACGATACTCATTCATGTTAACCCGTGAGTTGAATTCAGCAATAAAAAAAAACAGCTTGCCCGTCCCTACAGCCCCGAACACGCAGAAGCTCTCCCGCTTGGCTACTTCTGCATTGCGCCCACAAGCGCTACTCTGTATCAGCATTCATCTCTTCCACTTGTATATATTGAAATGTGAATTGCGGGGTGAACGACGGCGATACACACTGCAGCATACCCTGTGTGCCGCTCGCCGCTAGCTAGGCTGAAAGCGTTGCTTACATTGTCTTTCTAGGTTTCTGGCTATGGGCGCCTCGCTATTTCTAGCTGCATGCATGCTCGGTATGGGGGGCCAGTAAGTGTTCAACAATTTTAAACTGTGTGATGCTTGCAACGAAAGAGCTTTGGGTGTGCATGCATGGTGGGGTTGTCTTGTAACACGATGCAACTCATACACTGCCGCGGCTCTTTGCAATCCCCCTACAGGCCCATTGGCAGGCAGTCATGCGCGACAATGCGGTAGAATATTGAAAAGGAAATATATATATATATATATATATATATATATATATATATATATATATATATATATATATATATATATATATAAAGATCTGAGATGCTAGCAAGTGTATCGATACTCCTGTATCGTAGCAGAGACTTATCGTGGGCTGCTATAGACTGAAGCTAAGTGCTGCCACCAACGCAGTTGAGCTCAGCACCCCCCGTAGCCTCTTAGCTTCGTGAGTAGAGCTACATGGGCCTGAGCTTCGTGCAGATAGAAGTCAGCCTGATATGATATGCAGCATAGTCTGCGTGTGTGTGCGGGCAGGGTGGCTACTGCAAGAGGAAATACAAGTTTTTCACAGTTGCCTGCAGTGTCAGTGCATGCAGCACACAAGGCTTTGCTATGTTTCTTCGTGGGGCTGACTCGTACCACGAGCTGCAGCACCGTGTGCAGCAACTGAAACAATAGCCTGGGGAGAGTATAGAGAGGGGGCGGTGCCTCTTCTCTCTGTACTCGGCCCAGGCTAGTGTGTTGCTGCGCCTGCAGAGTAAGAAGGCAACTAAGCTGTTTATATAAGAAATTATTTCTTTAATTATTTCCACTCTATCGCAGCTTATGATGACCCTCATATATAGGAGTGCAGAGGGGGCTCGCTCTCGTTCTGTTGCTGCAGCTCTAGCTGTATACAACAACCCCACATAGAAGCATAGTAATACCCCCCAGCGCTGCATGCACTAACCCTGCAGAAATTTCTTAAACATTTATTTCACCCTCAATACACATCATGCATGCATGCAGAAGTATATGTACCGACACCACACAGAGCATATTATGTTGCAGCAGCAGCAATAGGAAAAAAAAACGAGCTGCAGCACAAGGTGCTGCGGCAGCAGTAACCGGGATGAAAAAGCAGAAATCCAACAAGTTGAAACAAATAGAATATAATTTAATTTAAAACAAACACAACAACACCTACATAGCAACAAGTGGTGCAGTGAGCGACGTGCAGAGAGGCAGCAGCGCTGCTGCTGCTGCAGACAGCAGCAGCAAGGGGGCCCCCTGGGGGGCCCCAAAAAAGCAAAAGAGCAGAACCTAGTTGAAGGCTGGTAGAGTATAATAGTAAAAGACATTCGTAAAAAGACTTGTATATTGTGCGATAGAGAGAAAGGAGACAGGTTATGCTGCTACAGCACGTCCTGCTGCTGCTGCTGCTGCTGCTGCTGCTGCTGCTGCTGCTGCTGCTGCTGCCCAGTGGGGGGCCGGGGCCGGCAGGCCAGTGGCTGAGGCCTGCTGTATCGGAATACAGGAGCCAACTGTCTCCTTGCTCAGCTGTGAATAAATAATTAAGAGAGGGAGTTGTATATGAAGAAAGAAAGCTTTAGGTTTCTTGGGGAGTGAGGAGACGGCCCCCGCAAACACAGAAGTTGCTGCAACAGCAGCAATAGCAGCAGGAGCAGCGGCGGCGCCAAGACCAGCTGCTGCTGCTGCTGCTGCTGCTGCTGCTGCAGCATAAGCTTCAAGACATCCGCAAACGAAATATTTGCATCTATCACTACAGCAACAACACCTGCAGCTGCAGCACACGCCTGCAGCTGCCCTCGGGGCAGCAGCACCAGCAGCTGAGGCCTTCTGACCCTCAGCAGCAATTGGGGGGGACAGGGAGAGCCCCCCCGCTATATTCTTTTTCTTTTTTTTTTCTGTTTTATCTATTTATAGGCTACACACCCTCTATTACTTTCCTCCTCTTACTGTGGTTTTCATTGGGGCCCAGCCAGACAGCATACAAAAGCTGCACGGGTAGAATTCGTGCTGCAGCAGCTGCAGCAGCTGCTGCTCTTCTGAGCTATTGCTGCAGCTGCTGCTATCCTGCTGCACCCTCTCCCCATGGCTGCACTTGTTACGGGGCCCTCTGGGGCCCGTGCATGCGCTCAGCCCCCCCGCAGCAGTGCTGGGGGCTCAACCGACTCCTCCTGCTTGCCTAAGGGAGCAACAGGAGCAGCAGGAGCAGCAGCAGCTGTTGCTGCTGCTGTTGCAGCAGCAGCTGCTGCTGCTGAGGAGGAAGCAGGACCACCAGCAGCAGACTGCAACCAACCCGAATCTATCCCCCTATCTACTGCAGCAGCAGCGGGGGGGGCCCCCCGCGGGGGGGCCCCACGAGAAGATGTGGGGGGGTACAGCAGGGCCCCCCTGCTGCCTGCATGCTTGCATAGTGATGCAGCAGCAGCAGCAGCAGCAGCAGCAGACGTATCGA